TTTTAGCACAGGACTGGCGCAGGCCCAGTCCCCGGTACACAAACAGTTAGTCCCATGCTAAAAATAGCGTGGGACTGTGCTAATTTTAGCACGGGGCTGGTGCAGGCCCGACTTCGGGAAACGAACAGTCAGTCCCGTGCCAAAAAAAAAGTACGTGACCCCATCTTAATTACTAGGGCCTGGCTGTTCATCTATATGACTGTTTAGGGTCGTTCCTTTTCTGGCCAGGTTATGCGGCCGTGTTGGTCCAGTCCTGGTCGGTCAAAGTTGATTATCTCACTAACCCTTAGTCCGTTTCGAGTGCCGTTTGGACTGGACCCCACTAATTGGCGCCTTGTGGTCGCGACAGTCCAGTCCAATGGGGACGATCAGGTCTGTGGAGGACCGTACCGCCGCGCCGTCTTTCCCTTGGTTTCGGCCGAGGGGAAATCTAACCGATGCGTTAGGGTCCAGTTTGACCATGACTGTGGACGTCCCTAGGCGCGGTTTTGACGCAGCGCGGAGGCTGACTCCGACGAGTCAACTCCTGCCGCTGCTCCACATCGTCTTCCGACACCGTGTGATGAGAACGTCCTCGAGGGTGCGTACAGGGGTTACCTTCAGCCACTCAGTCAGCTCAATTCTTTCATAACCTGCAGCAACAGCTTGGAGTTCAATGTGATTCCGTACGACGGGCTCAATATAAGTGCCCATGATCATGCTTTGGTCTTCTTGCGGTGTCCGCATGACCTCGAAGTATGACCGCATGGAACTAATCTAAGAGGTGATATCCGCTTTCCCGTAGTACTTGGACGGCAAGGTGGCCGCCCGCTTGTCCACTACGGGACCGCTGTACTGTACGCCAGTAAGGACTGTGTCCCTGCATTTGGGACTATGACTAGTGCAGAGCTGCCGGCGCTGCTGCTCGAGGAGCTGGCACCGGTTCCTGCGCTCGTCACAGTTCCACTTGTTGTTGCCACGAGGACTGTGTTAGATTGAGAGACTGGGACTGCAGCAAGTCGAGGGTTAGGAGGGCGGGGGGCAGACAGTTGGGACTGTTTGAGGCTGAGTAGCTCAGCCTGCAACTCTTGGTTTCGCCGCTCTAGTGCTGTCACACGGGACTCAAGGTCTTCCAAGGTCCGCAGTCGAACCAAGGCTGCTACGGCAGCAACTAGTCCCTCCTGGAACCGGTCAGCATTGGCTTCCGGGATCCGAAGGAGGGCCACCTGATCGGCAATGTTGGCGGCTCTGGCTGCTGCCTCTGCCTCCCTTTCCCTTTGCACGGCATCATCGTAAAGCTTGTGGAAGAACGGTCTCTCGTTCTCATCTGTTGCATCCAGCATGGCCTGCCATTGGGCAGATGTGATGTTTGCCATGTCGGAGGAAGGGGTGTCAGTAGATCTCTCAAGAGGGGTCCGCTCTCTCCTTACGTTGGGACGAACACTCCTCTTGCCCCTCCTCACACTCTCAAACAAAACACCTTCTCTGTCCCTTCTCTCTCTCTCAGCTGTCTGCGCACGCGTCTCAATACCGAACATAGATAGTTCAGATGAAAGAAACAAGCAGGAAATCACACAGAGAAGAAGGTAGAACTCTTAGCCAGAGCGGCGATTCATTTGGACTTAGAGAATGGCACGCAGCGGAATAAAAGAATAAATAAACAAATAAGAAAAAATAAAACGGAAGAGAGGGCTGACTTATAGAACGGGCCCGATCAGATTAGCTGGAGATCCCCTCTTGTCTAACCTGACAAGGGACATGTATCACAATAAATCAGCCGAAGAAAGCTAACTGCAGCAATGGAGATTTCGAGGGGTGCAGACGGTCGCCGAGCCAGACGCGGGGCAGTATGTGATAACAGGCGGTAAGACCAATCAAGATCCCCTTGAAAGGAATGCCCTTGCTAGCCGTATGTCCCCCAAGTTCAGCGCAACAAAGAGATGCACAGGCGGCAACAAATTTGAGCCCGAAAGGTCCTGTCCCGTTGGGCCTGGTCCCATTGGGTCCCGAGTGGTCCCAAGTAGGTCGTGGACCAGGACCAACGTGATAGGGGTACCAAGTCGGTCCCAAACTGCCTCTACCGTACTGAAAAGAAAAAGACAACTTTCAGCAAGAACTTACCCCTACAGCCGTTCAGAAATGAAAAGACAATGCACCGTAGAAAGACATGTCATTTAGAATAGATACATCATCCATCCATCAATCAGGTGAGAAAGCAATCCACATGCTCACACACACAACCAAGACCGCAGAGAAGAGGAAGAGAGCCCAACACACCCCCAACAGGCCATGAAGTACCAAGCAACCTCCCACGGGCATAACCAGGTCACACAGCACTTACCTGTGAGGCCCGGCCTCCAAAGATGGATAACGAGTCACCCCCCTCTCTCATAAGTCCTCCTGACCCCTAGCTACCACTACATGAAGTGTCCTAGCATGACTCAGAGGGCCTTCCTACACCCCTGTTGCAAAGTCGGATCCCCCGTCGATGTCTGAAGACCAAAGTAGCAACTTGCAGCAATCCGATGCAGATATGGCAGCCTTCGATCAAGTCTTCCTCTTGAGGGGAAGCCCAAAAGTCACTCAATGTCTTCTTGAAGTGCAGATTCCAGGTGCGAGTACCTCTCACTCTCTACTCCCTCTCGCTTACTCCAATCAGCCTCCTTTGTGTCTCGCCACCCCATCCATTCWCTCAKTCAACCTGSTCAGGTCAAATGTCGACCCTACATGACCTAACCAGGTGGGGGCAGTATCCACATACCTCACTGCCCCACTTAACCCTAACTTCCAACCCTAATCCGAAGTTAGGTTAGCCCTGACCTAATTTGGAATTAGGTTTAGGGTGACTGACACCTCTCGCCAGCAAGTTAGTCCGCTCCGATACCAATTGTTACGATCCTGGTCATTTCCCAAGTGCAAATTCACAATGAAGGACAATGCCACCCAATTGCGAAAGAAATGAAAGCACTTGCAAAGAGATAGAGACCAGAGGAGAGGTAAAGAAGAAGAAGAAGAAGGAGAAGAAGAAGAAGATGTGCACCAGCAAGACCAATGACAATTCCGCCTTCTCTCTCCACCTTCCTCCTCCGCCTTCTCTTCACAAATCTTATTCTTCTCTCAATAATAATAATAACGATGAATGGATGAACCAGAATCAATGTCCGAAGTTCCCTCTTACTGCTGACTCAACTCAACACAACAACAATAACAACCAGTCCACCATAGCTATGGCTTCCCTCCTTCAACCTCCAGCTCCTGTCCAAAGGACAACACAAAGCAGCTATGGTGCTGCGCTGATGTCCAAAGGACAACCCAAGCAGCTATGCCGCTGCTGACTGGTCCGCTATGCCTGACTCTGCCTCGAGCTTCCTTGGTGCAGCACTACCCCAACTGGGGCCTTCCAGATGCAGCGCCCAACAAGGTGATGAAGATGGTGACTACCATAGCCAGGTAAGTGCCCCGCCACTCTCCTACCATGCCCCCTTCTTCCTCCTCCTCAAGCAGGACTGCTCGCCATAGCCAGGCTGAGCTCCAGCGGCCCTTCACCTCCAAGCAGCGCTGCACCAGTCCAGCACTGCGCTCCAGCAGCATGTCGCCAATCCTTGCACACCGCAAATGAGGAAGAGCTCTTTGCTCTTCCTGGAGATATAGCGGCCTACCGGCCTCCTGGCGGTGACTTCCTAGGCCGAGCGGCCTCCCAGCAACCGGTACCTCCTCCCTTTCGGAGGGAAACATCATTGCAGGCTCTGCTATCCTCCGTACAGGCCCTAGACCCGGGCTACTTGGACTGGTACCGGCCTACCGCTATCCTACCGCTACTGGGCCTCTAAAAATGCCAACTTTTTGTCTTCTTCTGCTCGGCCTCCAGTACCCGACACCCCTACCACTACTTAGAGTGGTACCGGCCTACCTGCTACTTGAGTGTTTTTCCCTGCTGTTCTAAGTGTTGCGGGCCTATCCCCGCTACTTGAGTGTTTCCCCCCCTGCAACCCTCAAAGTCACGGCCACAGGTAAGTACCAGCCCTGCGGGGCCCTTCAACCAGCAAGTACCCTTTCGGGTCATACACACACTCAACCGACAAGCACTCAGACAGGCATGCAAACCAGCAGGCACGCACACACACAGACATGGAAATCACAGCAGAATGCGGGAATTTCAGCAAGGCATTCATTCCAGCGGCAAATCCCAGAAATCAGCAGTGTTCTCAGTCTGTGTTTTTGGCGGGTCATTACAACTGTCAAAAAGGGTCACATCCTGGGTGTTTTGTATGCAATGTGCTTGCCTTACCCTTTGTTTGTGCAAATAAATTTTGGCCCTCGCTGTGGTTTATGTTTGTTATGCACCTGGTTGTTTGTTGTCAGAGGACCGACACTCACTCACATAGACTTCCAGGTATGCCCATACATACACAGAAGGAAGGGGAGAGGATGGGAGTATCTGCAAGGAACATGAGTATGGACGAAGCACAGAAATCCAGAATGCAAAATCACACTGAAGTCCAAGTATTCAAAGCCAAAGCAGATAGCACATGGAACCGAGTAACCATCCCATTGAGAATGATACAGAAGAATCGTGAGTCAATGTCCATGCCCAACAGGGCAACACCAACAGCATAACCCAAATGTAACTCTCTCTTGTGAATGGCGCCAGGCGCCCTATCTACTCTACAGCCTATCCTACAACTACAGCAATGAACAGCAACCAGACAACTTGACTACCAGCGAGTGATGATGTCAACACCAATGCAGACCTCCACCATCACCAGGTACGTGTCGTCTTCCCCACACTCTCCCTTGTTACCCACACAGCGCCCTTCACCTCCGAAGTACCACCTTCGCCCGTCACCCCTCTGCGCCCTCTGCAGCCCGGCTATGGCCGCCAAGCGCCCAGTGCACTGGCAGCGCCCTACCGCCTAGCGCATGCCTGCCTTGCACTACCTCTTAGCGCAGCGCAACAACCAGCAGCTCGCATTTGCGCAGCGTGCCGGCATTGCCTGCAATGGCCAAGATCCCCGCTGCCTCGCCCTGCTTGCCTATATGCCAGTGCAGCGTGTGGGAGGCCTCCCTTCAGCCTGTGACCGGGGCCCAGAGGCTGAAGCCAACTCGATACAGTTGGGCCCCGGGGCAATGCAGTTGCGCCTCCTTCATCAAGGCCTGCGGCCAGATTCAGACAGTGGGCCGATTTCCCTTTGGCATTTTCGGCCTCTCTACCCAGCATGCATTGTAAGCCTCACGTTCGAGTGCCCAGGGCCTAAGTAACTCAGAGGCCCTGGGCATTTCGGCAATTGCTGAAATCCGAGACTCGGTGCACTCCAACCAACTGGCGTGCTGCAACTGTATAGACCCCACTTCGTGAAATGTTGGCACAGAGGGCTCTTGTTGATTTGCTGGCCCGCCTTCACTTAGGGCGGGCACTAGGCTTGCTGGGGCCTTAGCCCAGAACATGTACATCATGGCGAGGCCCCTACTTGAGGGCTCAATCCTCACATATCACACCTCACAGGGAGATAGAAACACAGGGGAAGACTTAGCCATGAGATATGACAGAGTACACTGAAAGCGCAATTTACTCCACAGAATCCTCACAACCAGTCACAAAGGAAAGCCGAGTAGATCACACCCAGAAAACAATGAAGCAAAGATAGTTCATCCACAGTAGCAACACTGTTTATTAAACTCAGAGTCTCGATTTGTCAGAATAATCCCAGAACTGTGCTGCGCTGCTCAGAACTGTGCTGCGCTGCTCAGAACTGAGCAGCGCTTCTTCCCCCAACCCTGAATAACCATTATCACTACCCCCGAGCCCCTGAAACAACCACTGCCACCCAGATATTGCCTCCAGAGGGAAGCGCCACCCTGAAACAGGCCTCCGAGGCCAAGCGCCTCTCAGAGGATGAAGAAGAAGACCAGCACCACAGTCTCTGATGATTGATGAAGTACTGGAAGACCTCCCAGATGGAAATCTGCAGCAGCGCCAGCTCTCCTGACAAAGATAATCTCTGAGAATGAAAGCTGCAGCTATGGCTGCAGTGCCACACACCCTGACACCCTAATCTTGAGAAGGGTTCAGCTGGGCACCAACTTCTCTTGCCTCCAGCAGACTTCAGACAGCCCGAACCTCTGAACAGGCCCGCCTGCTGTCAGAGAACAGTTCAGGTCCCAACTATGGCCGTCGCTTCGCAGATCCAGCTATGTCTGTCTTCCCCAGCGCTGAAACTGTCAGCACTCCAGTTCATGCGCTGCGCCGTTGTGATGTGCGCGGTACCAACCGCCAAAAAAGAAAAAAAAGCCCCCAACCGTTTTTCCTACACCTCTTCAAAGTCTACCCTAGCCTAGACACGACCTAGACCGGACTGACTGGACTGACCGGTACCGTTTCAGTTCAGCCTCCAGGGCCTCTCCCTACCCGGCTATAGGCTATAGCAACCGTCTAGCAGCCTAGGCCTCACGGCCTGTCTGTCCTAGGGGTAGCCTGGGCCTGCTACTCACAGTTAGGGTAGCTTTAGAAAATTCGAGTTAGTCTGGACCTCCAATTTTCCCAAATTTACAGATATGCCTCTCACAAATTTTCCTCACAGTCAGATATCTCGGTTAGCCTTCAACCAAACAAAATAGCGAATCTATCCTACTGAAACGGTATCACCAGTTCGCAGTAGCCGATGCAGATCCCAGGGCCCGATCCCTAGTCCCCACCTTACCTGTGTACAGTATCTGTGCCGACCCCTAGAGTTGAACCCGTGACCTGGGTATTTTTAACAGTGGTAGCGTGTCGTAGGGTCCAGAGGTAGCAGGGTTTCGATCTGTAGACCTGTCGAGTAGGAGTCTTAGTCAGGTCTAGAAGTCGTAGCTGTAGCTTCTCCGAAGGGTCAAGGTCGTAGCTGCTACAGTCCAGAAAGGTCAAGGTCGTAGCTGCTACAGTTTCGAAAGGCCAAGTCTACGGCCTTCTGGAAGGTCCGAGTAGTGGCCTTTCGAAGTAGCCCACGTTTGGACTGAGGCAAGTGGGCAAGTGGTGGAGTCTACCCGTGCTGAGTCAGCAGTCCCAGTCCTAGACAGTCCTAGTTCAGTCAAGCAAGTACCGCATGGGACTGTGTGCACTACGGGCATGGGAAAGGGCCAGACCAACGAGCTGCAGAAATATAAATCAAGAGGCAGCGCCCAGCCATTCATTCATTCCTGCGCGAGCCATGCGGAAGCGCTGCCACAGCTCTTGTGCTAGGTGGTCTGCAGTGAGCCGGAAGACGAAGTGGGCAGAGAGAAGGAGCGTAGCCATAGCGATAGGGTAGCAGCAGCCATAGCCGCCATAGCTGTAGTTAGAGTTTAGTGTGTGAGTGTGTGTGTGAACAGAGTATCGTGTGTGGGATATCCAGGGTGATCCTGTGTATGCGAACAGAGAGTTGTGTGGGTGCTGTGACACCATAGCCATCTGAAGTGAACTTGTATGTGAGCTGCGTTTGGTTGCCATATCTCTCAGTTTTGTGTGGGCGCTTGTCGCCAGTTTGCTGCGCACCTGTTTGCATGCATGAGAAGTGTGAATGAGAGTGAGTCTGATTGCATTGGTATCGGAGCTGGTACCCGCTATTCCACGCGCGCCGTCAGGTATTGCAGGGAGAGTACGCGCCATAGCCCAGAGTAACCATCGGAGAAGAAGCCCGCCATAGCGCACCTGGAGGTTGAAGAAGCCGCCACGCGCACCTGCAAGAAGACCACGACGAAGAAGAGAGAGAGAGAGAGAGAGAGAGAGAGAGAGAGAGAGAGAGAGAGAGAGAGAGAGAGAGAGAGA